TTTATTTTCATCAGGAAGCAATTAATTCTTCAGTCCCTGAATTTATTAAATTCAATATATATAAAAATACAGAAGGAAATATGTACCTATAAATAGAGAAATCTTATATATATAAATAAGCAATTTGCACAATCAACTCTGAATTTTCAAGATGTAAAAATTAATAGAATTGGGATTATTTCTCCAGAAAAAGATAAATTAATTTTCCAAGTATAACAGACATGGATTTATTCTATTACTGTTGAGAGAAGACCCATTCTTTAATAGAAGTGTCTGCTCTTACTACAGAAGAAAGAATCAGAGGTAAAAAAAAAATGTCTTTTTGACCTTATTTATTTGCTGTGCCAAAGACGATTCAGTGTCCTTAAAAATAATGTATTTTCTTTCTGGTTTAATTTAACATTAAAATTACATGGCTCGAGACAAATGTAGTTAGCACATCAGTTTAATAATTGTATTGATTGGACTGTGCTGCTAGACAATAGATTTGTCTTGTACTGCTGCCTCTTTGTACTTTTATAATTTTCTGCACTCTCTATTTGCAAACAATGTTAACTTTAAAATACACTTAAAATACTCAACTCTCAAGCAATTTGAAACACTCAGAATAATCAATAACTTCAGCAGAAGTTAGATCTCCAGTGATGTAGGAAGTCTAGAAACAGACCGTTTTGGAGGACACACTGCTGTTGTGCTGCAGGATGTCTCAGTGGAAAACCTGGCTTGGTGCTGCTGGCTGTCACTGGTTTTGAACAAGGACCAATCAGCAGAAAAATGTAAGTATACTTCTTAGGTAATCAGTGAGAAAAAGCCATTGTGCTCACACTTCACCTGTACATTCAGAGCAGCACACTTTGGTAGAGCATTTCTTCATACTCTTAGAATATTTGAGACAAAAAGCACTCCACAGAGTTCTACCTGACAATAAACACAAATACAGTGAAGACTGTAACCATGGCAAAAACCTCTGTGTATGTGTGACACGTCCTGCCTCATTTTCTGCACATAAAGCTCTAGAATTTCTTCAGCTTAAAAGACTTAGTCACAAATTGCTTTCTGAGAAGCTCATCTCTCACTACATTTAAAATAATATAGCTTTATCTTTTTTATGTATGTGGCCTTTGTTCTTCGGAATATTTGTATTAAATCTGTTTTTGTCTTCTGTTCAGAAGTGATATGCCACTATTCAATCTTCTGAATGCTTGTTCACAAAGCCAAAAAATAATTTATACTGAAATTCAAATACAGTCTAAGCAACCTGCCTTCACTGCATTAAGATTCATATAAGATAGCCCTGTTACACCATCGTGCTCTGAATGTGCACCCAAAATAAATTCAATCCATCATGAAAATTTTTTTCTTCTCATAATGGGCCACTAGTGAGCTGTCTTCATACAGCAGCTGAAAGCAGAGAGCTAGAACATGCTAAGGGTGAACATACCACACGTGGAGTCAGACAGCAGGCAAAGTTCTGGCTGTCTTCACATTTACTTTATATTCACTGTCTTCTAGGGAGCAATTCTGCAATTCCTACCAACCTAGGGGAGAAGAAAATCAGACTGAAATACAGTTTCAGACAGCATTATAGTGGAATATACAATATAAACAGAATAGGACATGCTGCAAATGTTGTTGGATGAAAGCCAAAGTAGGAAAGATGTGTGATGCTGAAGTGTTCAGAGCTTTTTGAAGCTTGCTAAAGAGCCCAGTGTTTCACTGGAAAATGCTTGTTCAATGGAGTTAAGGCATTCTTTTAGCTCTGACAGGTCAAGTCTGCTGGAAGAAATCCTTCCAGCCGCCAATTTCTGGGCCATTCTTTCCCTTGGACCCCATGTGCAGTGGCTGTTCTGGATTGTTTGGCTTGAGAGGCTCCATCTCCAGCCTCCTCGGGCTGACTCTGGACTCTCCTTGCCATGCCAGAAATATTAAGAAACTCTGTTTCCATTCTTCTAATTGTTCTTCTTTTAATTCCCACCTTTGGAAGATTTCTTACTGCTGAAATTTGGTTCTGATATGGAACAAAAAGCAATTTCACCCCTTCCCCATCCTTGCTGCAGTTTTGAAAATGAGGGATTTCTGCAAGATGGAAATGTTGGCCTGGTGTCTGTCCTTTCACAAAACTCCTGTGAATTCGACAGAGCAGAGGAGGCAGCAGGCAAGCACTGCAGCTGCAGTTTGAGCACTGGACTGGCACAGAATTCCAAGGGGGTGAGGTGCTCTAAGGTCTTGCTAAATGTGGGAATGGGCATTCCAAAATCAGAGCTGTGCACAGGACCATGAGCCAGCTGCTCAGCCTGCAGCACAAGTGCAGCCTTGGGGAGCAGCTTGAGTGACCCAGTCTGGCAGATATTCTGTTCCCAGGCCCTGAGACAGTAATTATGGTCTGCATTTTCTCTTTAATTTCTAAAGCTTGCTGGTGATTTGTATCTAACATTGGAAACCTTGTGGATTACAAGGGAAACCAGAGACCACAATGTGGAGTTATACAGAAAGTGGTGGATTGTGAGAAGATTTAAGCTGTTAGCAGCCTGCTCTAAAAAATCAGCATTGGAATTTTTATTCTTTTTTGTGTTTTTAGAAGTAATGCAATATTTGGACTTTAAACTTGTTTGGTAGTCTCTAAACATTATGATTATAGACTGTTCCCTGATGGAGGTACTACAGAAATTGCCAAAAATATTTTCTCAGATAAACAGTCGTTCTTTCTGTCAATGAAATATACTTATCCCTATAATTTCTCATGTTTAGCCTTTTCTTGCTTTACTTGCAGCAATCTGGAAATCAACTAAGCCTTGGATTGCATGAATGTTTATTTAGAGGAAAGAAACACATTTATGTAAATCAAACTATAAAAAGATCAAGAAGCTTGACGACTGTGAAGTGTTGAGAGGATCTCTAAAAATATCAAATAAGCAGCATGCTAAGAGTGCAGCTTTGCAGACACTCAACCTTTCCTTTTCAGGCTATCAAACAAGTCAGCTCAGCATCCAGGGAGTTAATGATAAATGAAACTTTCTCTCTAGGGAAGCAGAATAAATGCTAACAGTGTGTGTGCTCCCCTTCAGATCTTTCTCTCTATATGAAGAGCAAAAGAGTTTGTCAGGGGGTTCTGGAGGCTGGTGGAACACTGGGTTTTGAGCACCTACACTTCAGGAGGCTCCATTCATCCCAACACATCCAGAACACTTTTAGCTTATCACATGTGTGGAGAACATGTTTTTGAAGAAAATTGTCAGAGTAGTTTGACTCTGAATAGAGCTATTTAAAATATTTCCACTTTTTTGTTTCACATGGAAACCAGAATTTTAAAAGTCCCATTCAGTCCCTAATTTCTTAATATAGCCATATACTCTTAGGCTTCCAAATACTGGTAGATCCCTTGAAAAATGTTCTCCTTGAGAACACCCCAGCAGCTCCTGTGCTGGCTCTGTCCCCGTGCCTGGAAGCTCACTGCTCCTCTGAACATTCACTGGTGTCTCTGTCCTGGGCCTGGGGTTTGCAGTGGGCAGAAGAATGACCCCTGCAACACTGGCAATCACTATAAACTTAAGGGAATGAACTTCAACAGCAAATATTTTATACTCTTGACAAGTAAACACTTCAGAGTTTCTTTCAAAGGGTAATAAAAATGGAGCGGCTTAAAGAAAAGAGGAAAAGAAAAAGGACATATTTTGTGTTTCAGAGGTTTGCTGTCAGGTCCTGAGCAGGTGTAAATCAGCTCTGCTCCATTCCAGTCAGCAGACTTCTGGTGATTTATACCAGACAGGAACTTTATCTTGAGCTGCGGTCTGCCTGTGGAAGGAATGCATTACCTGGAAAGGTTTAATTGCTAAAAAAGTAGAGCTACTTTTGACCAAATGTGAAACAGAATTATAAATTAGAGATATGAAAATGCAAATATTCGTGTGTACGCACTGGGGGAAAGATCATACTGTGCACAGAGGCTCTGCTGGCCAGGTGCACCTGCAGTGCTTTCCATTCAGCTGCTGCACAGGGAGCCTAGGTTAATTAAAAAACTTCTTTCCTCTGTTAAAGAAATGAAATGTTATTTTCCAGTTTCATTATAATGGGATGACAAAAATCAATGTCTGGCTGGGATCAGTGAGAGGTTACTTTTCTGAGGACTCTGTGGAGGGAGGGGGGGTGAGTTCATGGCTGGGAGCTGCACTGTGTGGGATTGCCTGCAGAGGAAGAGGCTGTGTCTGAGGAAAATCCTGCTGCCTGGCTGGGCTGCCCCTGAGGAACAGGGCATGTGAACCTCGAGGGCCTCTCAGCAGGGACTCAGTCCCTCAAAAATTCAGGCCTGCAGGTGGGATTTGGGGCAGAGTGGCAGACGGTCTCTGGGAGGAGAGGCAATGGCCATGGCATGGCAAGTCTCCTAAGCCCACTCTGCTCTGCTTTGCCTTTAGGTGCCAAGGTTGATTTCTTTACTTCATTTCAGGAATGATAAATTCAGTGGCCTGTAATCTGACATTTGACCTTCTAGGACTAGCACATTTAGCATGATTTTTAGAGTAAATTATCATCAGAACAGACATAATTCTTAAACCAAGGATGTGGAGATAAGGTTTGAGAGGTGGGCAGGCAAGCCTGCTGTGCTCTCAGTGTAGTTTTGAATATCTGTATCTGTGATACTTGGTCCTCAAACATCCTCAGTAGATGCCAGACTTTTATCAGGCCTTGATCTCTCATTTATTGTCACCACTGAGCAAAAAATACAAGAGAAGAAAAAAACCTAAATTGTTGTTTCTCATGAATTATTATGAGGAATTAAATATCTCTGTAACAGTGGTCTTTTCATAGTGAAACAATAGGGAATCCTGAATGACAGTCTGAGAGATGACAATTTCTTTCACATTAAATGGCCAAAATACTGAATTAATTTTGATTCCAATCTCCTTGAAGACTTTAATGAAGGGGGAAACCAGCCAGATTCCTCAGTATTTTCCAAAGCACTCAGACTCACCCTGGCTCCGTGCTTGGGACCTGTGCCAGTTTTCTCTTTTTGTTCCAGGTTCCCTCTGTTGTGCTTCAATGCTCCTCTACAAGGCCAGGCTTTTTCCTTGTAGCCCAGTCTTTCATTTTGCTCTCTCAGGCTGCAGTCTCCCAAGGTAAGTGGAATGTATCCTAATTAAGTTTTGTTAATTTGAAGAGAAGAGGCCATTATATACCTTGGATGGGAAATACTATACAAGGGTCGATAATTTTCATCATGCTGGTTATGAAGTATTTCAGACTGTCTATCTGCTCTATTGACAACCTATTTGCAATCATAATTTTTGATGAATATTCATAATGACTGTAGAAATATAAAATATGATACTTGGCAACATTTATGCAATTAAATAGACAATTAAATTCTGCTGGTAGTAGTGGAAATTAAAATCTTCAGACTGATTAGGTTAGGCTCTATTAATTTTCACCCTCTATACATCCATCCCTGTAGTTCTTTGTACTCTTTAGATGTTTCAAAGGTGTTTATTTGTGCCCTTGAATTATGGACTAAATTAAAATATTTTATCATAGTGCAAAAGGGCACATCTTTAAAAATGAATATGTGTTAATAAATATTATTTAGATAAATATCCACATAGATGTCTTAATCTCTTAAATGTAGAAATGTCATTTTTTGTGCAATCACAAGATCTAACAGTTTTTCAGTGTGAAGAAAAATATCCCATTTGAACAAACTAAAAAGAGTAAGAAGAGCTTAGGCCTATACTTGTTTTGTGGGTAGAAGTTTCATTTGAATAAGAACCATAATTATTTCCCAGTTTCTGAAAGTGTCAGAAGCTGGGCTTCTCTGGAGGTACCTCCTATGTCTTTGGAGCATTCTTCTCTCCCACCTTTGCTCAGGGCTTCAGTGAGTGTTGGCTGTTGTGTTCTTTTACAAAAAATTATCAGAATCCAGCTTAAGTTCCATGACAGTCTGCTGTTGTCATGAAAAAAACCTCAGGCTGTTTGCTCTGCTTCTGAGTTCTTCTCACTTTATTTCAGAGAAATGGGAGATTGGCAGTAGAATTCTTCCCCAAATGAAACACTTCATTTGTTGAATTTTTGTTTGTCTTTTACAGCTATCGTCAGGAAGGAGAAAGAAGGGCAGTGACAAAAGCTGCTGTAAAATGTTCCTGTCTGTTGTATTTCAGCAGACAGTAATGCTGTTTCCTTTGGAGTATCCTTCAGAGTGCCTGCTCACCCTTTCCATAGCCCTGAGAGTCCATTTATTTCACACATCAATTACACACTTGACATTTTAACACTGTGTCTCTGATTTTAATGGGTTTTAGGAGCTGCATTATGATTAGAGACAAATGCTTCATTCAGGAAAGGAGACACCAATCACTTACATATAGAATAGAAATATAAATTACAAAATGTTAAAATTAATGTAACTGGAACTCCAGAAAAAATATAAAATACCTGTAAAATTTCCATGTACTCAGCTGTTTCTCCTGTGCAAGTCCAGAAAGTGCTCTACTGCTCTGATACTTGAATCTTTTTTTTGGGCTATTAAGAATAGGATTTCCCTCATGGTTATTACATGTCACAGCCTTTAATATTAATTGAAGGGCAGTTCAGTGGAATTAGAAGGGTTCTGAGATCACTATAAATGTTGCTCTGAGTTAAAGAAATTCTCAAGTGTTCATTTGATGTTTTCAGCTTTCCACTTGGAAAGACCCATAATTTCCTTAGAAAGCCAACTACTTGTGGCTAATGCCCAAAATCATCCTTTGAGCTCTTCCCTCTAAGAGAGTTGTACTGTTTGTTTTTTTCTTTCAGAAAAAAAAATCAATAGCAAAGATACTTTTCTAGTGTAACAAGAAATTTTTGAGTGTTATTTAAATTGCCTCAGTTACAGAATCAAATGACCTGCAAGTAATTTTACATCAAATTTGCTGGTATTCGATTAGCAGCTGCATTTCAAAAACTTGTATTAATGGAATGTGATAACTGGACTTTCATCCTCTGCTGAATTTATTAATTAGTTTTTGAACTTCACGGAGGATTCCTACATTTATAGAAACTGGAGAAGAGAATGTCTGACAAACATAAACTCTTTCAGTTGGTTGCTATCTAAGAATAAGGAAAGGACAAATGTGTACAAAAAAGCTTTAGAGAAATAGAAGTCAGACACTATTCTATTCATTCTTCTTCAGGTGGTGCTTTAGCAACTTTAGGAAGCTCTTGAGCTGTGAGATTTTTCAGCCCCTATGAGCATTGGTATCAGGAATACTTAACTGCTGTTTAAAAAGCTAGATTCTTATCAGAAAAATGAGATTAAAAACTATCTACCCAGTCTGCAGGCCAAGTATAGCCAAGCATTTCCTCTTAGCCATTAATAAGAAAAACAGCATATATGCATATTTAATTTTAAGTGAACTGAATGTACACATGCAAGTGAGCAAAAATTCATCTTTTGGGAAGTCTGTCTCTATGGCATGAGCCTGTATGTCTGAAATATATGTATTAGTGTCAGTGGCTCTGGGCAGAGGGGCATGAGTTCCCATGAAATAATTCCATTTAACCTATGTCATGTTCATCTCTTATTTAAGATACTTCCCATATTCCTCTTGAGGTGTCCTTAGAAAATAAGAACCCATTATAATTTCAATGCAGGGAAATTATGACTGGATTTCTAAGAGTGCCTTGTGCAGGGCTGGAAGTCATAATGTTGTATTTGATGATTAAATGTTGATTAAATCTACCTAATGACACCAGTGAGGCACTTGGCCTGCGTTAGGGCTCCATACCTGGCAGTCTCCTGGCAGGTGTCTGAGCACCTCACTGCAAATCAAATCCTGGTGCAGAGGAAAAGCAGCAGGACAAAGCTCTGAGAGTCCTAGTCTTACCTCCTGGGCTGGGAGATGGTGGCAGGACAAAGCTCTGAGAGAAGGAGCCTTGCCTCCTGGGTTGGGAGATGGTGGCAGGACAAAGCTCTGAGAGTCCTAGTCTTACCTCCTGGGCTGGGAGGTGGCAGCAGAGGCTCTAGCCCAAGCCATGAGCACTGAGAGGTTGTGCAGAAAGCAGCTCCCTGTCCCCCTCCCAGCTCTGCCTGGAGCTGCCCGGGGCCCCAGGGACCCCAGCACTTCCCGGGGCGCAGGGCCTGTCTGCCAACAATTTAAATTAATCTGTTGGGCTGGGAGCTGGCGGGGACTAGGAGTGTCCAGACAGTCCATTACCTGGTCTCAGCAGAAAAGCTGTTTACAGATCATTGCAGATGTGCTGGCATTGGGTTAATTTATTGTGTTACCCAAGGTTTTAGGACAGCTGACACACACGGACATATATTGCTTCCTGGCCACCTATCAGTGTCTCCAGCTAAAGCATCAGAGGGGTATATGGGATATCACTCTTAAAACTTTTGACAGAAAAAAATTGTCTTAGAAGATGGGAATCTATTTCTGATGTGAAATATCCTTTTTTTTTTTTTTTTTTTTTTTTTTCTTTTTTGGTTTTTTTTTTGACTTATGAATGAAAATGAGAAGTTTTATGGTGTTGCTGTTTAATGTACTTAAATTCTGATATGACAGACTATACTATCACTACAGGAAGTAAATTAAGTCCTCATCAAAGTGTTATGCAGAGCCTCTGGGCTGGGCTATGTAGGACATAGTGCATAAATTGTATCACTTGGCCCAAGGCACCATAAATCATCTACACTTCTGGGTGCAATTTCCTCTGTATTTTCCCTAGCTCCAATGTGCAAATACAGAAGATGAGCAGAAAGTTACTGGTTTATGCAGCATTGGCCTCAAGACACAATCCAGGATGTGATATACTTAGAAGTCACAAGGAATTTTACAAATAAATTTGGAGCTCATTCTGGTAGCTATCCAGCTTCTGAGTGCTTAAGGTACATTCCAACCTGATTTTCAATGCTTAGAAATGCATTGAAAATGAAAGTTGTATTTGTCTAAAATTCATTTGCAGGTATGGGATCATCCAGGGAAATAGTTTACTGGATTGCAGTACAGATGTGGCTCCAGGTGCCTACTGGAGGTAACCCAGGGCACATAATGCACCTTCCAAACATTTACTTACCTCCTCCACAGCCTCCCATGTGTCTCAAAGCCATGGAGGGGATGGGTGCTCAGCAATTGCTGCTTGGTGTATCTCTGCAGGGGGATATTTGCATAGAATTCCAAATTATTTATACGTTCTCTTCCAAGTTGCAGTGTAAGTACATAGATTAAATTATGTCTAGGAACATATATAGGAATATTGGGGATGTCTTGGTAGCTGTAAATTCATAGGGTCACATATTGATTTTTTTACTTAATTATGTAGTGTTATATCAAGCAAATGCCACAGACAGAAGTTAAGGGAACAAACTACTATCTTTATTAAGAGTATCTTGATGTCAGCTTGCAAAGGGAACTGTGTTGTTAAACCATTTTTTCCATTTTTTTTCCAGAGGAAGTGTGCCAAGTTGGAATAAAATACTAAGGGTCTTTTAAAAAATCTAAGGGCAACCCCTCATCTCTTCCTACAAAGCGGGAAAACATGGGGGCATTATGTTCAGATATTCATACAGAGCAGATTTTTACCAATAAATCTAGGTAATTATCCTCCCTTGTGATGAATCTAATTGATGTTACATTTACAGTAATAAACACCAAGTACACATTATATTGCACTGATATTTAGAAACTCTACCAAGGTGCTGTGTCTGAAGGTTTATAGACAGAAGTAAAAATACAACAGACAAGCAGGGGAAGGAAAATAATAAAACATTCTTGGTGAAATTTACTTTCTTGCAGTTTTCAGCTCCGAGGGCCTGTTCAGTGCTCCCTGGGCTGCTTCATCCGAGATGAGTGAAGCTGTTGCGTCCACGGCTGAGAATTAGGACACAGAGAGTGCCCACACTGCTGAGCTCTCTGAACTGCTGCAATGGAAAATCTGGGGGTCCATCCTTCCAGGGACCACAGGATGTGTCCTCGGAGATGAATTGAAATGCAAGGTGTGACTACCTTCTGTACTGACAGGTTTCTGCAATTGTTTATCAAGTGCCGGACTCGAGCTGCAGTTAGAATTTATTAGCTGATAACTGTCCAATTACTGGAATATAGCTAATGAAGGAGAGAAATGGCTCTGTTGCTATCACTTCATGTAATTACACAACTTCCTGGTGCCTGTTGCTTTCCCCAAATGGCTGTACAGCTGACAAAGACATACTTTGTTGCTTGTAGCAGGAATTATTCCCTTGGACAATATTTTGAAGGAACAAATACACCACAGAATTACTGAATTTTCAGCACATTGAGACTGAACAATGGCCATTGCCAAGCACTCTCCTGAGTATTACAGAGGATAAACCAAGAAGAGAACAAGAATCTGAGTGTTATAAATATGAAGTAGCAGTTTAATATAGTGAGCACTTAGCACTTGAAGCATTTTTGAAGTCCTGCTGTCTTAAGACACTGAGTCATCTCATGTAATTATTGTGGGTCCTAATGCTCTGGCCAGTTTCTTAACAATTCCAGGATGGATTCCCTCAGGTTGTCCATGAGCCTGAACCTGCGAGCTGCTCCTGCTCCTGGTCCTCGCGCTGTTTTTCTGTTGAAATGAACAGAAAAAACACCTGGGTCTTTGTGGGATAGTGAATAACTTGAATCCTTCAGTCTTCTCTGTTGTCTCACATTTGTTTACAGTTCTTTTAGATAATCTCTACCTTTTCTATCTCATGGTACGGAAAGAAATTTTTCCCTGTTATCTCTGATACTTCATGGCAGCAATAATTCCCTTTTAACCTTTATTTTTCTGATTGTGTACCTGTCTAGTTATATAATACCTATATGCTGTGTTGTTTTTAGATGTGTAAGTTCTTTAAAGAGTCATGCCAAGTATTTTCCCTCTGTGGTACACTCCTTTGCCTTTGTGTTTTTAATAGAGTCTGCTTTAATATCTGCCAGTTTTCTGCATTTCTTTTTCCTTTAGAATGTCTTCCCAAAAGATCTAACCTACTGTCTCTGTGAATCTGCTGCATTTTACTGCTCTCATGCAATAGAGAACTTAGACATTTCTTGATTTCCCTCCCAGATTTCTTTCTACTTTCAAATTCTTACTTAGCTTCTCCTTATGAGCTGGAATCAAATCTGTGCCCCCAGTAACTACTTCTGCTATCTGGACAAATGACTATCCATGAAATACAGCAAGTGCCTTCTGGGAAGCCTGCATTTTCCAAACGTTTTTCAAGACGCGATTTGGGAGTAAAATCTGTCTTTACAATTTTGTCTATTAGATTTATTTGTTAACTATAATTTGACATGATTTTTTTCTTTATGTGCTGGTAACTTTTCAGTAATATTCTTTAACTTTTTGAGAAAGAGGAAATGCTTGAGGCTCAATTTACAAAGAACAAGTCACCTTTCACTCAGTGTTCTTACAACTAAGCAGGCAATACAGCCTCAAAGTAAAAGAGTCAGAATTATTGCCATCCCTATTTCATAAAGGGGACTTCAAATACAGTGATTGTACAAAGGTCATTCTTTATATCTATGGAGGAGTTAAGAACTGCATTAAATCTTCTTAATTTTAGTCCAGTATCTAAGTGACAAATACTTTTTTCCTGTACTAACCTAGTTCTATCTAACTTTTTAACAGTTACTCAATTTCTTTGTCACCCACTTTTGATACAATTTTGTTAATTGCCTCACATTCAGGGGTTTTTAAGCCTTATTGAAGAATAAATTACTTTCTTTAAGGGTTTCTTCTGAATGATGGATTATGGATAGAAAGGTAAAAAATGTGGGGATGAGATTTAAGGGAATCAGAAATGGTATTTTTGCTTCAAATGTTTAGATAGCCAATTTACCTGAATGGATGTGCTCAGTTTTACATACATAGCTCTTGGTTTCCTGGCCGGTTTAGATAATAGTGATAAATGTAATTACTGTGTAGTCTTAGATGTGAATGATGTATTCTAAGCCATCTGACAGTTGATTGCTTCTGACAGTTAGCAAGTGGAAAAAGAGAGAACAGGGCAGACTGCAGGACCACAGCTCTCAGGGTCAGGGTTTCATCCCTGCAGGAAGGAGAGGAACACTCACAGACCTCTGCTACTCGCAGTTAAATCCTGCACAGCCCCCAGTGGCTGCAGTCTCTGCTCCTGCATTTCCTCTAGGAGTGACCTTGCATTCAGGCACTGGAATAAATGTTCTGTACAGCTGCACTCCAGACCTTTTAGCTGTAGGATATCAAATTTGCACCCATTTTGCCACACACTTCATGTCTGTTTTCAGAGGAATTAAGAAGTATTAGAATTGTGTGCAGCGATATTTTTATATATGAGGATTTATATATGTGTGCTGAACATCTGAGGTTCTCATTTATAGCTTTTGTAATTTAGATTTTGCTCTCTGATTGCCTTTGGAGTATCTGCAGGGTTTTCTTGCATTTGCAGGGAATTTACATTTAAAATTGTCTGTGATGTGCTGTCTTTCCACTACTCTAATTTCTCAATGTCATTCTGATTATTAGCATTTTTTTGATACAAGTTAAATCACTTTTCTCCTTTCTAATGGCACAGCTTTCATATTCCCCAAGCATCTATTTATTTTCCAGTATGCTTTAGTATGCCTTTTATAGGCAGATATTTAATTTCCAGTTGTTCCCTTCATTTGCAGACTAGCTTATTTTTATAATTTGTCTCGTTATTTTTCCTTTTTAATCTTTATATTTCAAGGGAAATGGGATGACACATTTTATCTGAGTTTCTCTCACTATGAAGTTAATTTTAATTGACGCAGCTCTTCAGTGAGGGCAGATGATTGGTTTCCAGTTTCCAGCTCTTGCTCTTCTCCAAGGTGAGCTGGAGGGGATGGGGTCCCCCCGTCCCCGCAGCTGGGGGCTGCAGCAGCCTGGCCTCCTACAGCAGCCCCCAGCACCAGCCTCCAGCCCAGCCCTTCCATCTTCTCTCCATCTCCTCTAATTCGAGTTTCTGGGTAACGTTTATCCCTGGCCACCACTGCTCAGGGGCACTTGGATCCTGGCAAAACCTGCTGGGGAAAAGCGAAGCATGGAACACCATCACTGTCCCTGTCTCTGCTTCTCAGCAACACTGAGCAGCTTTTCTAAAATCACACAAGTGGCTTGCATTGAGTTCCAGACAAGGCTTCAGAAAACAGAGCTTAGGTCTGACACTCTTGCCTTGTAGCCACCCACCTAGTTAATGTTGCCTTCTTGCCATTGTTTGACTACTTGTTTAGAATTTAATTTACATTAAACATGATACAGGATTTTTTGAAAAATATTCTTAGAGGAATTTGAGTGCTTTTTCCCTTTACCCAAGTAAGCACTAATGCAAGTTCACTGGTGTGGCATTCTTGAGGCTGGCATCTGCTCTGCTAGCTGCAAGTCTTTGTGACTGCCAGCTGCGTTCTGATGAAATACTTGTGATTGCACCTTTGAGAACAATTCCTATTTTGGGAGACTTTAAAGAAAAGACTGGAACAAATGGAATTTTTGTAGTTTCAAAATACTTCTGTTAATGATGGTCTGGAGATGTTAATTTTCTCTCTTGGTGGATTACAGAAATTTACAGAAGAAAATGTTCTTTGTGTTGGAGAAAGAGAAACAAGGAAGACAAAGACATGTCAAGTCTTTGTCCTGAAAAATTCAGATTTATGCCTTTTATGAACATAGCTTTTACACTGAGTTTTTCTCTTCTACTGAATTTAATTAATCTCCCCAGTGTGGTTAAAAGAGCACGATTTTATAGCTGTGAACAGCAGCCCATTCTATGCACAAACTTGCATTTGTGGCTGAAGCATCTCTAATACATATTTGTTATTTCTTTGTTGGATGTCAGCAAAAATCACTTTGTAAGAATGACTTTTATTATCTCTGTCAGTTTAGAGTTGCATAATTTTTGCTGACATGCTCACGCAGTTGACAACAATACCTGCTTCCATTACAAATGAGAGGGAGGAGAGGCTTAGATAAGGGTTCTTGTGTTCTAAATTTCAAGTGAGTCCTAGAGTTGTGAAGATAGAGAAAACATTTAGATTTATATCTAAAATCTAGACTTTAACTCTTATACATGGCTGTTGATTTTCCTCCTGTGTTCTCAATAAGGCAGTGCTCAGTGGGAGAGTGAGTTTCGGTGGCTGCTTGCTGGGGTCAAAAGAAATTAATTTTAGTTGTGTGGATGAGGAAGTAGAGAGCTGTGAGCTCTTGCTAGAGGCAGATCAGGCTAAGGATAATGGTTGTTTACACAATGTACAACTGGACAGTGCTTCACATTGCAAGTGTTTGATGAAGCTCTCTTATTTTTCCCTTCCATCACTCCCCCAACTCCTCCCAAAACAGATGCTGCCATAAACTGATATGTCACTTGATCCTGAACTTTTCTTAATGATTGTTGTGGCATTTCTAGTATTTCTTAGAGGCAAGTGCAGCAGCTGCCAAATGTAATTGTTTCACTAATGCAATGAATACATTTTACCACAAAAACAGTACAGCTGTGATTTCATGATTGTTGTTCCCCTTGTTCCCCTGCAGAGCTGAAATACTGGTCTAGTCAGTTCTAGACATAGACACAGCTCTAGAATATCTCTAGAAATTCCCTATTCCTAATCCCAGGGTCCTGCAAAAGCCATTGTTATGTGCTTTTTATTGTTCATGTCGAACAAATGTCTCACAAATCTGGACAACTCTACTACACCAACTTGTCAGGAGACATTTTTCCTCTATTTTTTTGTCCTGTTTTAAATTCTCCTCCTTGACTGGCCCTTATGCAGACCTTATGCTTAACCCAGATGAATTTTGTATGAGGCATATTTGGGCTTTCTTTCTGGTCTAGCTCACTGAGGGTGAGATCTGCCATTCTGCTTTATCCCATGAGGTTTTTTTCTTTTTTAACAGATTCACAGGAAAAGGATTTAGAGAAATTCCCCAGTTACTTTATATTGTATTTGGGATTTATTTTCTTTGGTTTTCTACTGAAAAAGTGAAAAGACGTTGAAGTGTCTTGCACATGCTTTTTACTACAGAAAAAGATCAAGTAAGATGTAACACAGTTCAGACTTTCTTTGACTTTGGTCCCACCATTTCTTCCCCCTTGACATTTATTTAAATGCTGAACTCCAAGCCAAAACTGAATTTCTTTCACTATTCAAAACACCAGTTGATGGAGCTTATTTTTGCTATCACAGCATAGCTTCCCAGTAATTTTCCTTATGCTTTTGAAAAATTTACGTTGTTCATATCAATCACTCTGTGCTTTTATATAATTGGTTCTGAAAATATTTTTAGATGTCTGTTTTAAAGATCTATCTCTGCAGAGCCCTCATAGATATTCAGCACTTCTGATTCTGCCATGACCTGCTGCACTGCTCTTGGTTCATTAGGTCATGTTTTGAGGAGCTGCAGATGTTTGGACATGGAGT